ATCCCCGCCTGTAAGCCGATGAACCGCTTGGGGAAGCGCTGATTAAAGGGATTACAACCCTGGGGGAAAACCAGAGTCAGACAGCCTAACAGCTGTTCTGACCCTGGTTGTACTTTTGTTAATTGTACAACATATCCACTGAGCTAAACAGTCAGCGGACTCTGGCTTTCCCCCAGGGTTGTATTCCCTGTTAGATATGCAACATATCCACTGAGCACTGACTGCTTAACTCAGTGGATATGTTGTACATTAAACAGCTGTACCTACAGACAACACCGACGAAACACTGTCCGGTGAACATATGCTGATGTGCACGACAGCAGAGCGGCCGGGTGCACTTTTTTTCGAGGGTTGGAGAGCACGACCGGTGGTCACCAACCGCGTCTCGTCAACGACATGCCCAGGAGACGGCATGCAGCTGCGTACACAAATACAAAATGCGCCTGGTTCCTCCGCCTCATGCACTCTACACAACAGCAGCAGCAGCAGTCCCCTCCTTGTTGGTTGTGGACAGAGCATCTGTACTGCTGTACGATTTGAGTAACATGTTTGAGCCCGACTGTGCGAACACGGCCAGCGGTCACCAAGCGCGTCGTGTCGGGCATGCCCCAGAGACGGCATGCAGCTGGCAACAGGAGGAATAGAAATGTGGTCTCGACTACAGCAGTTGTCCCTCCGCTACATATGTTCAACTCTACACCACAGCAGCTCCCCTTCTTGGTTATAGGTCAGAGTCTGCACTCGTACGAACCAATTATGCCGTCAGCCTACCTTGTGCTCCACTGGGTGGCTTTGCCGACCTGCTGCATCGCAGCCAGAAGTGGTGAACCAGTCCTTGCTCTTCACCAACGCCCCGAGCCGCAGAAAGAAGCTGTAGGGCACGCGGAAGTCAAGGCGAAACTGCTTGGAGGTTATGCTGTTGCTGTCGTCGAGGTCCTTATCCTCCAACATCTGTGCCCAAGCGCATTTTTCCACGTCTTTCCTCTTTCGCTGTCCTCTGTTAAGTTTCGGGCGGGGAAGGTCGGGCGCACGATCCTCCTCCTCTAAGAGGTCTTTTTGCGACAAGTCGTTGCGTTGGACCTTATCAAGGGCGGCCAAGGTCACAGCAAGAAGAGCGGTTGCTGGTAGCAGGGCATCACCCACACCGGTTTCGGCCATCGGAAGAGAGCCCAGGCTGCTGATGTAGGGTGGAGTCAAGCGAGTGGCACTCCCGGCGCCAGCGAGGAGTGCCAGCGATGGCAGCCAGTTCCACATTGACGATGCTTGTGTGCGTGTGTGCCAGCAACGTCGGCGCGTGATTCGAAAAAATGACAACTTTTTTTGACAAGCGCATCCTGTCGAAAAGTTGCCCAAACAATGACAGGATAGGCTGTCAAAAACGGTTCGTTATTTTTTCGTTGTCATATTTTAGCAAAAAAAGACGTTGTAACACGGGGCTATTTGGCCAGTTGTCATTTTTTGAAAAAAAGACAGCCTAAAAAAAGACATCGTGACAAATGTCCTAAGAGCTAATGTGAGAAACAACAACAACAACTCCTAAACGATTTATTTATTGCTTTGGAATGGGCATGGGGCTAATAACCCTAACGCTAATCCGAACGCTTGCCCCAAGCCCACACGATACGTGCGAGGTGGGCGCTTGTGGCTAAGTTCTAGGTTGATGTGCAGGTGGCTAAGTTCTAGGTTGATAACCCGGTGGATAAGTTTTATTGTGTAGGTTTAAGTGGCCATGGTGGGCACTTGATGGGCTCACCATGAAGTTTTTGTTGTTGCTGTTGTTTCTCACATTAGCTCTATATCTAGTCCACAAAAAAAGGGGGAGCAAACAGGACAAAGAGGCGGCAGGTGGGCAGACAGCCAGACGCACAAAAACAAAGGCAACAGCAAAGCGAGATCAAGGTACCCGACACAGCAGAGTAGGCAGGGAGGTCATGAAAAAAA